TAACAAGTTTTTAGGACCTGTTGTGGTTCCCATCAATAGAAAAGGTTATTTCAAATGAATTTTACCTCTGAGCTTTCTAAGGATATATTAGGTTCCTGTCCATCAGAGCACCACAGGAACATCCTTACCATTCCAATGAAATGAGAAGAAATTCAAGATCACAAAATTAGTTTTATTGTATTTTTCTATTGTTTCACAGGTTAGAGTGATTCCATATATTAAAAAAGGAAAAAGGGTGATGGAGGTACATGTAAAAATACAGAAATGGTTTGACAAGTGGAGGTATGAATTCATAGAACATAAAAGTACATATTTAAAGCTGATTGGTCCTTGTATGATTGGGCTCAGTCATGATAAAGTTATATACACAGTGTGAGATTTTCAACACGTAGCAAACAGCAACTCAACCTTGAGAAACACGAGTCACTATTCTGCTAAAGCAAACCCAAGCCTGCAACTAGTTTAAAAATCAGGGGACGGCAAGAACACACATCTTGCCGTGCAGTACAGAGATCAAATGTCATTCTATATATAGCAAGAGACCAGCGTGTGATCAAGAGTTTGCTGAGTACACACTGCCAGGAGTTACAAGTAGTGGGATTGTTTGCTTGTAAAATCGGCAGGTCATTTGGGATTGCCATCCCCATAACATTCCCATGAATTTCATCAAGTAGTATCTTGGAATGGAGGTTCTGTTTATCAAAGCCTTCTTTTTGTAGCTTACAATTCCATGACACCCTACAAAATAATTCCTCAAAAATAGATCCAAGTTGGCTGTTATCCTGCCTCTCTCTCCTGACTGCTATTTAATACTCTGTGTCAGCACACAAACACAGCTTCCTTTTGTGACCTGCAAGTTTGTTTTTGTAAAAAGTTCCTGATACAGTCATACTTCCTGTAATGATTTGATTTAATGCAACATCTAACATCCTTAATCCTAAGATCTGAATAAAGATGAAAGAGTATAGTAAAACTACAGCGAATGAAAAATAAAATCCCCCCTTTGAACTTTCCTCCAGTCACCTTCTTGGAAACTCTTTACTTTTCTATAATAGTAAGTAAATTTGCAATAATAATAATAAGCTAAGAGGTCACACATTTCTTAGCAAAGAGCCAACAACTTCTGATTTTTTTTTTTAAAGAATAAATACTCTATAATCAATTACAGTAGTTTCCTTGGGGTCTAATTTTGAGTAGGTTCTACCCTTTATTTACTTGAATAATTTTGAGGGGTGAAGTCAGATATCACAAGGAGATGGGAAGGCAGGGATAGCAGATAAGATCTGGTCTTGAGTAAAGATTAAAATTATAGTTAAGTATTCTATCATGTGGTAGAGGTTGCTAAACAAACAGAATTTGGTGATGGACTTTTAAAGGATGATGTTTTCATCTTTAATTTTGCCTCTCCCCTGTTAGTGAGGAATATAAAAATCATCAGCCCAATTCTATAACTGAGGCTTGAGAATTTGGTCTCCTCTGCAACCACGTGGAGGGCAACCGAACTCCTCCCAATGCCATTCCAGGGTAGTGTTCCAGGAAAGACCATTCCTCACTATGGAGGTTCAAAGAGAATGTTGCTCCATGCTGCCAAAATATATCAAAGTCTGGGCCCTTGTTTCAGCCGAAATTTAATTTTGCTAATTGGGCAAGCCAAGGAAGTATGTTTTTGGAATACTCCCTTTCTCTACTGTTAGTTGTATGGGTATTGTAACCTCCAAATAAAGGCACATGTATTTGTAGCTCTTCTAGAAATGGGCGTAGTGTGGGATTATGTGAATACTCTTTGTAAATTTGTCAGATTGGGCAAGTAAATATATAGGACTTCCAGTTAAATGTGAAGATTTTACTAATCACCTAAAGGCAATTTTGAAATGCACTGAAAAAAAAAAGTTGACTCTAGGACATTTAGAGCATCCTAACAAAGTCCATGCAGGACACAGGCCAAGAACTATTAAATACAGGACAGGTCCCACATGTACAATATGCCTGGCAACCCTAACTCTCTGGTATTATATTTGGAGTTACATGCCTTCACCCACATTTTATACTTATGCATCAATTATGTCCTTTGACTTCCACCATCCATTCTTATAATTTGATTAGAAATTAACTGCCAACTCCAATCAACAGCCTTCTCTTGGTCTTCTATTTTGACATACTGCCAACATACCAATTGAAAAATAATTTTCAATTTCAGTGCTTGATATTGGTCTGTTCAGGAATTCTATTTCTTCCTGATTGAGCCTAGGAAGGTTATGTGTTTCTAAGAATTTATTCATTTCCTCCACATTTTCATGTTTTGGGCAAAGATATTTTTATAGTATTCAAAGATAATGTTTTGTATTTCTGTGATATCAGTTGTGACTTCTTTTTTATTTCTAATCATTTTAATTTCTTATTAAAATCCTTTCCTTTCTGATTCTGATCAATCTAGCAAGAAGCCTATCAATTTTGTTTATTTTTTCAAAGAACAAACTTTTTGTTTCATTAATCTTCTGTATAATTCCTTCAAAAAATCTTCCAACAATAAAAGTCTCGTACCAGATGGGTTTACTCCCAAATTTTACCAAACCTCCAAAGAAGAACTGGTACCTATACTGCAGAAATTATTTCACAACATTGAGAAGGAAGGGATCCTCTTCAATTCATTTTATGAAACCAATATTACTTTGATACCAAAGCCAGGAAAGGACACAAGTGAAAAATAAAACTATAGACCAACATCCCTTATGAATATAGGCACAAAAATTTTCAATAAAATGTTTCTAAACAGAATTCAATTTCACATCAAAAAAATAATTTAACATGACTAAGTGGACTTCGTCCCAGAGATACAAATCTATAAATGTAACTCACCATGTAAGTAAAACAATAACAAAGACCATATGATTCTCTCAATAGATGCAGAAAAGGTATTTGACAAAATTCAGCATCCATATATGATAAGAACTCTTAACAAAATAGGCATAGATGGGACATACCTCAAAATTATTAAAGCCATATACAACAAACACACATCCAACATTATACTGAATGCGGAAAAATTGAAAACATTCTGCTTAGAACTGGAACCAGACAAGGTTGCCCACTATCACCACTTCTATTCAACATAGTGCTGGAGATCCTAGTCAGAGAAATCAGACAAGGGAAGGAAATCAAGAGTATTCAAATGGGGGGAAGAAGAGGTCAGCTATCACTGTTTGCTGATGATATATTATAACCCAAAGATTCAACCAAGAGCCTCCTGGAATTGATAAATGAATTCAGCAGAGTCTTAAGCTACAAAATCAGTGCACACAAATTGTAGCTTTCATATATGCCAATAACAGTCAAGCTAAGAATCAAATAAAAGATGTAATACCTTTCACAATAGCATCAAAGAAAAAAAACACCTTAGGAATATATTTAACTAAAGCAGTGACAGACCTATGTAGGGAGAACTACAAAACACTGAGGAAAGAAATTGCAGAGGATAAAAACAGATGGACAACTATACCATGCTTATAGATCAGCAGAATAAGCATTGTTAAAATACCTATACTACCCAAAGAGATTTACAGATTCAATGAAATCCCTATTAAAATACCAACATCATTTTTCACAGATCTAGAAAAAATAATTCTATGCTTCATATGGAACAAGAGAAGACCTCATATCGCCAAAGCAACCTTAAGTAAAAAGAGAAAATTGGGAGGCATCAACCTACCAGACTTCAAGCTATACTCCAACGCCATAGTAACCAAAACAGCATGGCATAGGCACAAGAGCAGAGACATAGATCACTGGAACAAGACTGAGAACCCAGATATAAAACCATTCTCATATTTCCCTATGATCTTTGACAAAGCAGACAAAAATATACACTGTGGGAAAGAATCCCTATTCAATAAATGGTGCTGGGAAAACTGGATAGCCACATGTAGAAGACTGAAACAGCTCTGCAGCTCTCCCTCTCACAAAATCAACTCATGATAGATAATAGACTTTTAAACCTAAGGCATGAAACCATAATAATTCTAGAAGAAAATGTTTGAAAACTCTTACAGATATCATCCTAGGCAATGAATTTATGAAGAAGATCCCAAAAGCAATTGTAGCAACAACAAAAATAAATAAATGGGACTGATCAAATTAGAAAGCTTCTGCACAGCCAAGGAAACTATCATTAGAGTGAACAGACAACCTACAGAATGGAGAAAATATTTGCATGCTATACATATGATAAAGGGTTAATAACTAGAATGCAATTTTATTAGAAATTACAAGCACATCCATCCCTGAAACAGAGAACTCAGAAAAATCAGCAAGAAAAAAAATCAAACAACTCCATTAAAAAGTGGGCAAAGGACATGAACAGAAACTTTTTAATAGAAGACACACTAATGACCAACAAACATATGAAAAAATGCTCAACACTCTAATTATATATATGTAATCTAAACATGTGTACCCCCATAATATGTTGAAATAAAAATAAATGTTTAAAACCACTTTAATCATCAGGGAAATGCAAATCAAAACCACAATGAGATATTGCTTAACTCCAGTGAGAATGGCTTTTATCAAAAAGTCCCAAAACAACAAATGTTCTTGTAGATGAAGAGAGATAGGAACACTCTTACACTGCTGGTGGCACTGCAAACTAATACAACCTCTATGGAAAGTAATATGGAGATACCTCAAAGACCTAGAAGTAGAATTACCATTTGATCCAGCAATCCCCACCACTAGGCATTTACCCAAAGGAAAAAAAAGACATTCTATAAAAAAGACATCTGCACTCAAATGTTTATAGCAGCACAAATCATAATTGCAAAGATGTGGAAAAAAACCCAAGTACCCATCATTACATAAATGGATTAATAAAATGTCATATATGTATGCCATGGAGTACTATTCAGCCATAAAAAATGGTGAACTACCTCTTGTATTATCCTGAATGGAGGTGGAGCCCATTCTTCCAAGTGAAGTATCACAATAATGGAAAAACAAGCACCACATGTACTCACCATAAAACTGGTACTAATTAATTAACACTTATGTGCACATATGGAAGTAACATTCATCAGGTGTAGGGCAAGTGGGAGAGGCGAGGAGGTGATAGGTGAGTTTACACCTAATGAGTGTGTGGTGTGTGCTCTCTCAGGGATGGGCACGCTTGTAGCTTTGACTTGGGTGATACAGAGGCAATTTGTGTGACCAAAGTCTTTGTACCCCTGTAATACTCTGAAACCAAAAAAGGAAAAAAAAAATTCTTGGCATCAATTTTTGGATATCTACAGGCCCACACATGAGTAATTCGGATTGATTATTTTTTAACACAGCAAACTATTTGACTTGATAGAACGAATGGCAAATAGGAAAAAACAGTCGGCCAAGCACATGTGAAGTTGGAAGGAAACTGAGAGCAACAAGAGACAGAGAGTGAGGATGAAGTGAAATGGCTGAAGCTGTATTTTAGCCGCATGTTTCTTTTTCCATTAAGTATTTAGTGGAAAAACTTTGAGGAAAAAGTTGGACTTAATCCATTAGTTTAGCCAAAAGAATAGAATGCAGTCTATCATAACATAAGACTGAATAGCCAGATTTTCCCTCACGAAGTTCTTTTCCACTGATAAAATCCCTTTCTCTGAAAGTCTAGTTGTTCAACTATAACCTTGCATTTCTTGTGCTTTTCTCAATGCCTTCCTTACTCCAAAGATAAAGACTTTGTCCTTTCAAAAATAAACAACAACAATAAAAACAGAGTTTACAGACAAATACTAACACCTTAAGAAGTACCTCCTTTAGTCTCTAAAATCCCAGTTAAATTCTAGTCATACCCACTCACTGCAAATTCTAACTCTAGAGACTCTGATTACTACTCCAAAGTCATATTCATTCTAAGAGCAGAAAATCAACCATTGCTATTGACAGGCCTGAGGACTGGCTGGCAAGCCATTCTAATTAAAGGCAAAGTGAAGGTCACGAAGAGTAAAATGTATATAGTCAGTCACATAGAAGTGAATGCTAAGCTCTAGGATCTACCTGGGGCCCTCTGGATGCCCAAGTACAGCCCCTCGACTGAATCTAAACATTACAGAACAAATCCCTTTATTGAAAGGATATGTTCTGTTAAACTGGGATTCAGTCAAAAGGACACACTCAAGGACCCAGAAGGCCACATGTGGCCCCAAGGCTACAGGTTTTCTGCCCCTGCTTTAGACCTTCAAGTGTACGTCTTCCCAGGGGAAGGAAATCAAATGCATCTTAAACCTATGCAGAGTCTGATAATCACTGCAGAACTTGGAAATAGAGACTTGAAATGCTAGTACCTTTCAATGTTTTTTTTAAAAATCACATCATGGAAAGCTATGATAAAATAACCTCCATTCAAAAATAGTTGTTTCAAAATTTAACAGGTGAAGAAAAGTCTAGCAAGAATGAAAGCCAAGATTGAGAGACTGAGTTTTCTTGACACCACGTGTTCAAATGTCTGACCCTTTGACAGATGGTGACAACATAAAGAACCAATCCCCAGGATGATCTTTCACTGAGACACGAACTCAAAGATCTAGAACTTTCTTTTCCTTTCTTTTCTCTTTTCTTCTTAGTCCAGGTGCTACATGTATACCAAGCAATAGATAAAGACTTCTACTGAAGTAGAAATGCCACTTCTTTCACACTAGAGTAGAAATTCCACTTTTTAAATATATCTTAATTGACATTTTGACTATATCGAAATCACAATTAAAATTCGAAATTTAATTCAAATAAAAATCAAGCAAAATAGCTGTTTAAATTTATCTAATTATCTGGTTCACTAATTCACACATATTTCACCTTTTAACAAGTTATTTTAGATTTCTAGAGACTCTTCTCTGTGTTGTAATTTCCCTATAGGTAAAAAGGGAACCAATGTGTGCCACTCAACTCCAACCCGAAGTTCACTGTAAAGACCAATGAGTGACTCTTTGCTCTGCTGTCCGGGGCCACAGGCTGCAAGGGGCCATGTTAGTACCGTCTGTTTAATTATGGAAACAAGACATGTCTTGCAGATGACACTGATTTGCTGTTGTTGACTTTATGGTTTCTCAAACGGAACACAACCTTTTTGAATGGTCTCACTGAGAAGGCCTATAGCATCAGAAATGTTTCAAAATCTGAAAGCCTTATTTGGGTCAAAAATACTTCATGAGTTTGGCTACTTCTTAGTTGGATGTTGAGCATGAATCTGTTTCAATCAAATGACTAACCAGATATAATCAAATACGTTTGCTACCTGAATTCCTTGTTAGCATATTAACATGAGAGTATTTTGTACCACGTAATAACAGTTACAAGTGTGCCTGGAAAATGGTAAGTTTCAAACCAGACACAACTTTAGAGCTATTTATTGATTAATTTTTATATGATTGATTGACTTGTACATGTATTAGTTTTTAAGATACTCTGCATATTTGTGAGTAGTGCAAAAGATCAGATAATCAAGTCTTCCAAATTTGGCTAAAATTGATATGCTAAATAAACAAACAAAAAAAATTCTGAATCTTATGCTACATCATTGTACCATATACAATGTAAGGGAGCAAGATTTCTAATCTGCATCACATTCAAATTAGCATTGAAGTAAATACTGTGAAAAGAATTTAATAGTGCAACAGAAAAGCTGTAAACATGCCTGTGGCATCATTTTCCTGTTGATTATACCACAATATACAATTTTTTAAAAAAAAACAAGTATAATTACTAAAAGCGTTAATACCTAACTACACAAATATGTAATGTAGGATTTTAAAAATGGAGATCTAAAACAACCTGCTACAAAGATATCAACAGAAAAAGAAAAAAAAATCTCCTGAATAATGAAAGACAAAATCTTCCCCGTTGTGAGTGGATGGAGATTATTCGTTAAGCCTGTACAAACTTCACCCCCATTATTCTTACATCTGCCATAAATTATTAATAGTTTAGCTCCAGGACAGAGGTTTTAGCCACAAGTTTTTGTTAAACGGAAGGACATTTGCAAATGCAGTCATATCAAGATATGGACGGATTTGCTGTAATCTATATCATCATTTCACTGATGACCTGAATCCAATTTATTTTCTCCATTTTCTCTTAGTCCCAATGTTCATATTTTTGTAGAACCAATATACATGAGCCCATTCGGGGAGGACTTGCTCTCCTAATCACAAACATCTTTCACGTGACTACCACAGTTATGCTTAAAGAATCAGCACATGTGCGCAAGTGTGCATGTGGGATCGTGTGTATGTCTGTGTATGTTTGCAGGGTCTGCACATTCATGGTCATGTTCAGCTTGAGTGAATGCACAAATCTGTCTTGGTCTGAATGAAATGAGGAGCCACCTTTGCACATTTTACCAATCCTAACCCATTTATTTTCTGCACCAAAGAAATGCAGGGTGCCAGATCCCTAAATTTTGTCAGAGGCAAAGTGTTACTCTTCATATGAGTTTTATTTAAATAGTGAGGCTATTCTTTAAAGGTTATGAGATTATCAAATTTTGTTCATGCATCTCAGAATCATCTTGTTTCTTGTCCCTCGTGCCCCATTGACCTTACGCACTTCAGCATCTGAGGAACGTTCCTATATTGTCATACAGCTTAATTTTTTTAAAATGCGAACTGAAATTGACAACCAATACTCTCAAGAGCTATATTTTGGTCTTGGAATGTCACTGGATAATTCTACAGAGTTCCTTTGTGGGCAAGGTACTTTAACAGATAAGGAATGAAATGGCAGCACGGAATATTGGCCCATAATGAACTGAAGACAGGACAGGTGTGGATGCCATGTGGACATGGCACCCACAAGAGTCAGGTCTCCACATGGCTTCAGAATGTTACTTTGAAAATATCCAGAGCAGAGCTTTTCAAGCTTTGCTTTGTACATGAATCACTTGGGGTTCTTGTTAAGATACAGGTTCTGGTGCTGTAAGTCCACCTGGGACTGGAGAATCTACACTGCTGATGTACTCTTAGAAGGTACTGACGCTGCCAGTCTACGGGCCACAGTTTGAACAGAAAAGGGCAGGTGCATACCAACAGAAAAAATCAGTGGGGACAATAGCATCAGCTCCATTTGCATATGTTTCCACAACTGTTAATTACTGATTTGGTCAATTTCATTTCATACAGTTCAGTCCACTGAATGCAAAAATTGAATTACTATGTTTTATAAGTAAAACAGATATAACCAGAGAGCCATCATTATATATAAAATTTTCCCTGCTTGAACAAAAGGAGAATATTATAAAGCAATGACATAAGTGAATACTGAACCACATTTCAACCCCCCACCATAATGCCACTGATACTTGGTTAAATAAATACCTTATATTATTGCTAACATTCTTGTATAGAAATGCATTTACTTTCAATACCAGCATTGCTAAATATCTGCTTATCCAACAGGACATTATTCCAATTGACCTATACCAAGTTCTTAGAAATGTAGCCCCATTTCAGAAAATTTGAATTTTGAGAGTTCATTTCGGATGAAGCACTTAAACCCTCTCAAACGTGGAATGCTTGTTGAGCCACCAGATCAAAGGAAGAGATGGATTTTGTATGTTCCTGCAGCTTTTTTTTTAGAGTGTATCTACCCATTTTTGTTTTCACAGCAACCTTCGTGTTTGAAGGGAGTTCTGATGTGGAAACAGCTCGTGGAGGTAAACTGAGGTGACACCCCTGTGATCAGACGTTGCTCTGTTGTAACAAAAGTGTCCTCAATTCCCTTTCCCTCTGATCCTCCTGCCTGTACTTCTCCTCCAGTTTCTGCTTCTCCGAATCGGCGCAGTAAAAGGTGCAATCTGAGCTCCTCCGGATCTGCTCAAACTGACTGAAATCGGCCACGTACTTCCCGTTTTTGGAGAGGGACACCACGGGCACAAACTCGAAGCCCCAGTAGATTTCCTCCGGGATGTACGACGTCCGGCTCTGGCAAACGGCGCTGGTGGATTCCACGGTGGCGTTGAGGAGGACCACGAGCTCGAACTCCTTCTCCTTGAGGTTCTGGGGGGTGAGGTCCCGCAGGGGGCTGGTCTCGTCCAGCACGTGGTAGAAGGTCATGGGCAAGATGAGGAAGGGGCTCTCGGAGGAGGAGTCCACGTGGAACTTGACGGTGGCCTGGTTGAGGAGGATGCGCTCGCCCTCCTTGGTGACGTGGGTCTGCAGGAGCTTGCCCGAGAGCTGGCACTGGATCAGCAGGCTCTTCCGCATGTTGGCCACCTGGATCACCAGGCACAGCTTCCCGTTCTGCTTGGTGATCACGGCGCAGTGGCTGAACTTGATGGTCTCCGCCCGCTTTTTGGGCCTCGCGATTTTGGCCAGGAAGGTGCCCGTGATGAAGATCTCGATCAGGGTGGTGATGACCAGCTGGGCCACCAGGAGGAAGATGGCATGCGGGCACTCCTCGGTGATGGAGCGCACGCCGTAGCCGATGGTGGTCTGCGACTCCAGCGAGAAGAGGAACGCCCCGGTGAGAGAGTCCACCTTCATGATGCACGGGGTGTGGTTGGAAACGAGCTCACTGGGCTCCAGGTCCCCGTGGATAAACGCGATGGCATAGTAGATGACCCCAAAAAGGAACCAGGTCATCACGAAAGTGGCGGCAAACAGGGTGAGCTTGTACCTCCACTTCATGTCGATGACGGTCGTCCACAGGTCCTGCAGGTAGAGCAGGTAAATGCCGTCGACTTTGTCGATCCTCACGTTGCTGTGCCCGCTCTTGGACATGACGCGGGGCCGGCTGGCCTTGAGTCCCGCCCCCGCGGCCGCGTGCTTCACCAGGGGCGCGCTGGGCGTGGCGGCGGGCATGGCGTCCATGGCCAGCCTCCGGGGCCACCTGAGGAATGAGGGAGAAAGACATTTCAGTACGGCCATATGGGGCGAAACGTCCAGAAAATAGAATAATCATGGGAAGAAGGCGCGAATCTATATGGAGGTGCATGCAAGGAAGGGGAATTCTGAAGGCAAGATTCGCCGGTTTGCACCTTGGGCGGGTGGTAGGGTAGGTGGGAGTGCAGCCTTTGGCGGAAGGCAGGCCTGGTCCAAGGGTGACCCCGCAGTTTACTCGCTCTGTGAACTGGGGTGCGCTCTTTAACCTCTCTGGACCTCAGCTCCCTGATCTTTGAAATGGTCAATAAAGCCTCCTCCTCAAGGCTTTTGTGATAATTAAATGAGACAAAGTGCCAAAACAGAGCCTCACATTCCAAAAAATGATGCTATGCTTCTTTAGTGATAACAAACTCTTATGCATCTGCCTCCCAGAGTGATAAGAATATTTATTTATATTCAGCCATCATAAATTCCCAATTATGGAAAATAAAAATATTATTTGACTGAGCATAGGTCAGGACTGATGTAACTATAATCTGCCATCCATGAGATAGTTCTTGATATGGCAATGGAGAATATTGTTATACATTTTAAAAACTCAGGTAGTATGAATACATTTTTTAAATGTATCTTTTGTAAGACATTCTTTGTAATATCAATATCAATTCATTTTCCCCCTAATCCCATGAATAATTTAGAATCCATGACCACTCATAGGTTTTGAAGACATTGGAAAACAACCAAAAACATACCTATAGCAAGTAATTGAGCTTTATTAATGGCTCCATAATACGCTGGTTATTCTTGGAAAAGTGCTCATTTAAAAAGTGTCATTTTAGGTATGACATTTAGGTAGGGCACAAAAGTTCTGCTTCACTCTTTACAACTAAGTAGAACCAGCATGAGGAATCTCTTTTAAAGAACAAATGAAAAAGTAATTGTAGGCATCTAACATTGTAGCAGAGAAGACCTACCTAGAACAAGCGATGGGCTTCACACTCAGCTCCCCGGAAACTCTGCCCTGTGCTCACAGCCAGGAACAAGCTGACCACAGAGCTGCCCAGCGTCTTATAGTACCTGCCCCGTGACTGAAATAAATTTCCCCTATTTCTTGAAAAAGATGAAGTAAGTGATTACAGGGTAACTCTACCTGATTGGCATGTTTTTTGGTTGTTGTTGTTTTTTGGCCTCATTGGTATTTTAAGAATAAAAAGAAATTACTCCCTTTAACAAAAGGAACTGATGTACAGTGGCTTATGATTCATGCAACACTCCTCTGCTAGAGCAGCATTATCTCAATAGAAGTTTTTGAAAGTAATCCTACAAGCAAATTCCTTCAAGGAAATGGAACTGTATCTGTCAGAGGCGAACACCTGTTCAGGATGCAGTGGGTCTGTTGGGCATTTTAATTTTCCTGTTGCATTATTAGAAGTGTGTCTTCTTAGACAAGGTAGGGGGGGACAGGGGGGAGGGGGGAGGAAAGAGTGTCATTTACAAAATGCTCCCTTGATAGGATTTATTTTTTTCTTAGAAAGGAAAGTCACTTTCCTATTTTTGTTTCAAAGAAGAGTCATAAGGTATTCGGAATTTCTTTACCTTGAAGCCAATCCCAGTGTTCTTGGGAACAGTTTAGAAGAAAAGGACAGGATACAATTGATGAATGTGGGCCTTAGCATATTGTCAGCAACACTTCTCGGTGTAACAAAGAGGAAAGCAACCACGACAAAGGTTTGGGGACGAAACGCCATGCTGGCGTGCCCAAGTGCACAGACAAGCTCGGGACACGAGCACTGCCAGAGACAAACGTAGCTTATGTACAAGTAACTGCATGCACTTTTTTTTTTTTAAGAAACTGCTGGGGAAAGTGCATGCCATTCAATCCACTGAAATAAAAACAGAGGCTTGAATTTCCCAGTGCGAGTGGTGCGCCCGTGTCCTGCGAGCACAAGGAAAGCTCCCAGCTCAGCCCTGCACCAGATTCTGGGAAGCTTGGCCCTGTTTTTGTGGAGACAGAACCATGAAGCTCCTGTTTTAACTTCTCTTTCAAAGTGGCAGCAGGCCAGGCTGGAGATGAGCTGGGCCTTTGCCCTGTTTCTGCTGACAGCTCTCTTGCTACAGTCCTACGCATCTGGTGTTGGAGACAATGACATGGCCAGCACCTCCCATCAGGGTTTGGTGGGCGCAAACCGCAGAGCAACACCTAGAGCTTCCGGGTGTGCTGGGAGCAGCAGCTCTCTGTGGGGACGAGAGCAGCTGGCCGTCAGCAGCCGAAGGGTGCCATGGCCCGCTCTGTCCTCCTCCCTCCCTACAGCGCCCCATGCCCTCAGAGCGGTCTACTACCTGGTCACTCACTCGGCAGGTCAGAAGGTGTCTTCTTCAAGGCAGGTAGGCACGTTTTCGCTCCCCTTCACCCGCCTGGCTACCATGGGGTTCTGCTACTGCCTGAAAGAAAGAGGGACACGTGGTGGTCACAGGTGGTTACCAAGGGCACCCCAGTAAAAGTGACCTCTAACCCCTTTCTGGAGGCTATGGCGGTGGCATTTACCTCCCAGTCCCTGGTAATCTGGCACCGTGCGCAGGCTAGGCTAAAGGCTCAAGGAATGTTTTAAGAATGAAACCGAACCCCAGCCACAGCCCCCACTGAGGCATTCCCAGCCCCCCGGAGGGAGCCCAGCAGCAAAACTCCCTGGGCAGAGAGGGTTAAGCCACTTCCATGGAGGCCTGCTATGAAATGGCCAGCGTGCAGGAGGCCGGAAGGGGAAGCGCAGAGGAAGTAAACAGTGAGCGTCGGAAGGGAAGAGTCTAGAATATTTTTACCGCCTGTGGAAGTGCATTACTACGGTTGAGTCATAGAACATGAGAGTGGAAAAGACTGTCAAAACCACCCCACTGGACGCACACTTTGCAAAGGAGGGTACTGAAACCTGGGATGCAGAGGGACACCTCTCAGGCACACAGCTCGGTCCTGGCAGGAAAGATGAGGTCCTAAGTGTTTGGAAGCTGGACCAGTGTTCAAAATCCCCCCTAGACCTTCACAGTTTCATGTCAGCTGCTCCAAATGCAAGAGGTTCTTTTGTATCCCTTTTTTCCAAAATACTTCTTCCTAAGCTATCTACCTATCCTCCACCTATTAGTATCTATCTACCAATCATCTATTATTTATCTATCTATCTATTTTTCATCCACCTACCTACCTCTCTATCCCCAAACATTTTTATCTGTCTTTCACACACACAGGCACACACTTCATACTTCTTTTCCAATCCACCTGTTGTTTATAAAGATTGCTCTCTTTTTTTGGGAGACAGAGTCGTGCGTTGTTGCCCAGGCTAGAGTGAGTGCCGTGGCATCAGCCTAGCTCACAGCAACCTCAAACTCCTGGCTCAAGTGACCCTCCTGCTTCAGCCTCCCAAGTAGCTGGGACTACAGGCACGAGCCACCATGCCCGGCTAATTTTTTGTTTGTTTCTAATTTTAGTTGACTGGCTAATTTTTTTTTTTCCTATTTTAACTCCTGACCTCAAGCGATCCTCTTGCCTTGGCCTCCCAGAGTGCTAGGATTACAGGTGTGAGCCACTGCACCTGGCCCAAAGATTGTCCTTTTGTAGTTAAAGTATTCTCACTTATCAACCAGTACAATCTCGCATAGGCCGTGTCATCCCAGTGAGGTCACTCCACATTTGGCAAATGACCTCTTTGTCGTTGCTCTAACAAGACCCAGTAGCTTTGCACCCATCAATTTAACCTATAGATTTTATTATTTCCACTTCGTCATATGCTCTTAATTTATAGTATTTTAGTCCTCAGCAGGTTTCTTTCATGACATTTACTTCATTATTGGTACATACTCTCATTTCATATAATCGTGCACTGCCTTAGGTTTTTTCCCCTTAGTGATTCTGCAATCCATCTGGCTTAACTTCTAAGATGTTAAGGGACAATAACAGTTTCCTGTTAAAGTTAAGGAGGGGAAGAATGACAAAAGAATATTTTCTCCTGATTTCCACTCTCTTAATACCCCAGAAAAGCACTATTCCATGCCAACCATTAGCAGTTTTCTCTAGTCTCTGGAAATAGTGTTTATTTCTGCAGTGTTTGCTATATTGTTCCAGCTTGTGGGTTGGGGTTGTAATTCTTAGAATGGTGATATCTTTATTGAAGGGAAGTTCTTGAAACTACTGAACGGAGAGCTCATTGTTACTCTCGCCTACTTCCAACGGATAAAAGCTGCATGGCATGGAGTCACTGCATGCTTACGCCATGTGGCGTTTGTTTTCTGGAGGGAAAGGGAAGAAAACAGACACATTCTGAAATGAAGCCAAAACAGTAGGCACGCTGCAAAAGGGATTTAGCTGTATGAACTACACTTCCTGTGCGGGGACAAAACGATGCAAATGAGGAAAATGGAAAAAGGGAGTTCCCACACCATCTATAGAGAAGAAAAAAATCCTATCAAAGAAAAAGGCTCTGAGGATGGATGATCAAAGAAACCAGCCACAGCCAGCTGGGACACGCTGTTCCATCGGAGAAAAATCAGCCTGGAAAGGCCCAGAAAGTGACTGGGTCAATAAGAAGAAATGCGTAAGCAAATAATAAGTAAGAATAGAGTCATAATAGAGCCAGAAGGGTCCAAAGTGGGAAGGGCCATGCAGACTAATGACAATATCAGTAATGAAATAATACAACAAAGATTCAGATAAGTAAGATAGTAATAAAGGTTCACATCAGTAATGACAACAATCGTGATACGAAGATGGCACTTACTCTGCCACGTGCCAGCCACTGCTGCTCCAAGTGCTTTCCACACGTGAACTTCATTAACCTTCCCACCCACGCCGAGAGGTAGACACCACCTCTATCCTCATGACGAGGAAACTGAGGCACGGAGGAGGTAAGTGCCTCCCACCCAAGTTCCCGGCAGCCAGCCTGTGGCCGTGGGGCACTCACACAGCCAGGCTCCTGTGCCCACACTTGCAACCACGCAGACAGCGGTGCCTGCACTTAGCTGCGCCAGAATCACCTAGAAGGCTTGGGGTTTCTGATTCAGTAGGCTTTGGGGTGGAGCCCGACAGTCTGAACGTCTAACGAGTTCCCGGGTGACGCTACTGCTGCAGGAACACACGCTGGGGACGGCCACACCGTCACATACAGCTTCCCCCTTGACGCAGAGCCTGCGCCCTCACTTTGCCTCTGCATCCTGTGACAACACTGTTTCACACGGGCTCTGCGGACACCCACTTGCTCACTTTCAGGAATACACAACTTCTCCCCTGGATGAGTGCCAAGTCCCCAGGGCCCAAGGCCATGAATTTTGTGAAGCAGGACTGTATGGAGAACCTGGTCAAAACGATAACATATTATTTACGTGTCTTACAGGTGTAATCTAAATACGATATGTTGTGGACTATATGAATATCATGTATTATAAAATTGATATGAAATAGATAACTGTGATACATTATTTATACTTCTATTAGATACGTATTATGATATAAATACTTCTAGTGAAAATATTTACTAAAATTAAGTACAGACAATTCTCTAATTCCCACAAGAGATTTTCAACCATCACTTTGGGTGGCCAACTCATGTTGACACAATACCACTTTCCTCCAAGTCCCAAAGCTGGGATGTCCCAGCTAACCGTCAGCTGGATGCTTTTTCCAGGAAAATAAATTCAGCTTAAGAAGGAATTTTTTTTTTTTTTTACTCCTGGTAAGTACAACACTGAGATTGTCTAAAACCTCCTTGCTCTGTTGGGCCAAATTTTGGAGGTTTTCAATGTGCCCATCCTGAGAAAACTTCCCGTGTGTTCCATGGTGGACTAACAAAGTAGAGGGACCCCCAGAAAAATAATTATAACTCACTTACAGAAAACATGGGGAAATGAAAGCTCCCCCAGACTACAGTTCCTGGACCAGGGCTCCTCTGATCTCATCTTGTCTCTCTAAGTAGGGTGTGAGGCACCGAAGAAGGAATTCTGAATCGAATGGCAACTTTGGATTTCCTCACTAAAACTAGAATGTGGGGATCCGGCTTCTAAGTTCTGACAAAACATTGCTTCCTGTTTGCAAGAAAAATTGCTTAAAAAACTTTCTCCCATGTCAAACATTTCTGACAGGTCCATTTTCTGACGATCTCTCTCTCTCTCTCTCTCTCTGTCTACAAATCCAAAATACCTGGATGAAATTTCACTTTAAGCATACACAGGTTTAAACATTAAGCAGAAAAAAAATGCTTCAAGAGAATCTACTTGGGGTTCACTGAGCTCGAAAGGTTTAAGAACAATTGAAAATAAAAGCAGTGGGGCTTAGCTATCCTCCTTTGGACCCTGTGACCCTGGTCACACAAACACATGCACCGGGACCTTGGCTTTGGCCTTGTGCCATGTTCCTCCCTGCGCTTGAGAGCAGTCTAGGATCCGCTGCACAGGCTGGCCTGACTATTCCAAATTGACTTTCTGAGGTTGTCAATGCCAGATGAGGACACAGATGGCTTTGCCCAGGTGGCCTGAGACACGCACGTGTTCATCTAAAAAGAACAGAGTGGCCAAGGTTAACTCTCAGCAGATTCCAAAGGGTGACACTTGGGTTTTATATCTTAGGGAAACCATGCCTCCCTCTGCAAGATCACTTTTTCCTTCGGACCACTGAGAACTGAGGATGGCTTAAAAAGGAGAACAGCTCCTTAGAGGCTGTGAAACTGCTTCCTGTTCTCCACGAGAATCACGAGGATTTCAAGGGAAGTATGAATTGAGATTATAGCAAGTTTGCAAGCTGGTTGCCTCCATCTCAATAATCTATGTTTTGGAGATATGCACTTGGAACCTTAGTGGTAGAACTGTGGCAATTTGGGTTGTCATGGTTGAATGTATGTTGGTCCCACTTGTTCACTGCACCTCCCCGCTGGGCCCATCCACAAAGGATCCTTCCCTGGGTCTGTCCCCGTGGGGGAGTGTGTTTTCTCCTCTCTTATGGCAGGGATGGCCATGTGGCTTGCTTTGGTCAATGCTCTATTACACATTGAAAAAGCAACAACTATTCCTTCAAAGAAAAATCCCACATTTTGCATTGCATGTGAGCATCTAATGATCCAATTTGCCTCTGTGGTCAAACACGAAGCCTTTTTCCTATGTTTCCATTCCATTATTATTGTTTCGAATTCCATAAGTACTAAAAAAATCCTTTTCCATCTCTAAATGCGGTTTGCATAGTTACACCCTTTATTCCTCAATGCAGATTCTTTCTGCATTTTTTTTTTTTTCCGTCCCATAGAACATCAGCCTTTCTCTACTCGGCAAAGACAAGTTTAAACAGATACCGGGTTCAACGGGAGACTCATTTTTCCATTTTCCATGGCAAAGAATCTGAGCGCTCTAACAAGGCAGAGGTATCATTTGCTGAATATTTTTGTAAAGACAGTTTAATTTCAGGTCCTTTATTTGCAAGAGAGCCGGCTAACCCAAATAAAACATTATCCAGCTGTCTGTTGTTATGAGTGACCAACCTCAGCTGAACGTTATTACTTAATAGCAGCTAACTTTCCTATAGAGCACGAAGGCGCCGCGGCTGAGAGCAAATGGAAATTTCCTTTGGTTTACCACCCCCGGTCGCTCCCTGCTCCAACATGCGAAGAACTTGGGTAATAAGCATATTCTCCCCTCTAATCACAGCATGGCTGGGGCGTGCATTGTTGTGAGATGACTGGGGGAAATTTATGTCTGGAGGTGGCGGCTGGGGAGTAGGGGGAAGGAGAGGTGTCTTGCATTAGCCTCCCCAGTGCAATGCCCCGAATTTTCTCTACGGGAAATAGATTTCTTCAACTGGCTCAGAGAATCTCACTATTCTTGTCTGGGTTAGCTCAAATGTAACACAGAGGAGAAGGATGATTTGGTTAGGTAAAAGGAAACACAGGGCATTCGGATTTGTCAGCCAGCATGGTCGGCATCTGTTTCGTTGCAAAAGGCACTTGCAGAGAAGCAGGTATTTCATTTAATGAGACTCAAACGGGGCATAGTTGGAGCATTCAAAGGGGCAGAAAACACGTGGGACGCAGACAAGGATGTTCGTTTTCTTTAACTCCTGTCTCTGTGTGACTTTGAAAAGTTGCTTGGGACTGGATCATTGCATTTGTACGATGCATCGTCATATAATGTGCAACACTTCAAATTGACTTTCCCCTAAATAAATCTCTCTCTCATTAGGACATTGAGTCTATCACCTTTTCCCGCTCACATTTATCTTTCTGTGCCTCATGTTTATATGTTTTACTGAGACGAAGGCATAGAAACATAGAAAGCACATTATAAACACAGATCCCAGTTTCAGGCTGGCTTGTTTTCCAGGCTTCCTGCTGACTAATTTTTCCTTCGTTTAAAATAATTTTGGAAGCGTTGGTTTCTACAGATCGATGATGAGCGGACTTCGGTGTGATTCGCCCGCACGCAAGGGTAGAATTCCTCCCTCTTCATGCTGATTATCATCACAACTGGACTCCATCTGATACTAGACAATGGAAATCATGGCTTGTGCTTGGTTTGGAACCAATGTAACAATGGGACAAGCGTCAAGAAGTTTCAAAATCCGATCTCACCGTCAGTCTAAACTTTGACCACATTTCTCTGATACAGAAACTGATCTCACAGAATCTCAGGGGAACACAGTTAATACCAAAATTCTTGGATTGGGGTCAATTTACTCTAAGGACTGGTAGTATTTCCAAGTTGTTTGCTTGTTCCAAAGTTGAACACAGAGACACTTGTGATCTTTGAGCAATAGTAAGAAAAGTTCAGACTTCAGAATACTTTCACATTCAATCAGCAATTGGGGCCTTTGGCAGTTAACTAATCTCCATCGCTAAAGAGTGCAAGAAAACACATTCTAACCATCTGTAGTTAATTAGCTGGAGGACCATTGGCCCGATTTTTGTGTTTTGTAGAGTTCCCAGGTAAAATGCAAGAAACCCAGTTAAATTTGGATTTAAGATGGACAGCAAATAATGTTTGTCCCATGCGATATTTGATATAGGCTTATACTGAAATTATTCACTGTTTATCTGAAGTTCAGAGCTGTATGTGTACCACCCCACAGATTAGTTCTACGTTTTTATTTGTTAAATCTGTCACCCCTGGGGAAGAGCAAATTTATATTCAAGAGTAGCTCAGAAGGCCAAAAATCTTAAAAACAAGGTTTAACATAAAGGTGGCATTCTTTAGAGAAAAGCCATCCAGGTATTCCCAGTTGGGAACTTCAAAAACACATCTAACCGTGTGGGATGGGGTTTATCAGGGATGTCAGAAAGCCCACGAAGCTGGTCTCATCTTTAACATTTTAACTCAGGGGTTCTTAATCATTTTTTGTTATGGTCCTTTATGGTGGATCATGGAGACATGTGACTACTTTCTCAGAATAAAGTGTTCAATAGATTAAAAATAAAATAATAAAGATAACAGAAAACACTACTATTAAAATACACTCATTACAATATTAAAAAAACAAAGACGTACTTCTTTTTCAAACATTAAATACAAGCTAATGTTTTGAAGGTGTGGTGAGCAGAAATGCTATTATTTCAAGATCCCTGAAATGACTACAATGTGATGCTCAAATATCTGTCATTTCTACTATGACAAAGCCACAGTTGCAGTTCGTGCAAGTATGGTTTGCTGCACACGTTCACAGTGAAGAAAATATAAATTTTAGATAAAGGCTATTGAAAATAAACTTTTCCTCTTTTCCCCTTATCTGAGATCATGGATCCTCCTGAGTTCTACCCATAATTTCTCCAGGCTCCACAGACCTGGGATTAAATCTGGCCGTGGGTGAGGTTTCTAAATGCAGCCATTCCAACAAAGTCACAGAAATGAGACCGCCCTACAGAATCCTCCTTGACTGATTTTTCCCATAGACGCTCTCTTGACATTCTTAGCAGTTACCCACCCCAGACACTCAGTAGCCTCTTTTATAAAAATTGCCCAGAGGCTTAGCAATGGGAATCACAGTTAATTCCCTTTCCACTGGGACGTTACTGTAGGCACTAATGTCAGTAACGAGCATCACGTTGGTGCTCACGTAACTGGAACAAAATCCCAGTGAGGACACATTCCAACAGCCTCTGCCCTGGAAGTAATGGCACAGTTTCTTCTGGCATGAAAACAAAGGAGGAAAGAACAGAAAGCCCAGATACATACGTAATTCTTGCTCTTCACAGCCTCACGGTAGCGCTTCTCAGAATTATGAGGCTGGTTTTTACAGTTAATGTACTACTCAGCCACAGGCAGCCTTGTCCTACCGCGGTTTCATCGTGACCCTTACCGGGAAGGAGAGCACCAGCTCAGACAATACGTCCTTTCATGAGTCCCCCAGGGGCCCCCGTGCTGACAAGACAAATCCTCAACACCTTCGAGAAGCATAAAGACTCTTTTAAGGCCTGGCTCTCGCCCCTCTTCAGCTTTGCGAGCCTCGGGGAGAGCCCGGGTGCACCTGCCCCCGGCTCCGAAGCTCAGCGCTCTCCTGGCCCCATGTCTGGCCATGTGTGATTCCTTCCAGAAGGTTCCTCACTCTCACCCTTTCTTGGTTGACTCCCACCTGTCCTTCAAAAGTCAAGTTGAACATTACCTCCTCTGTACTTACGAAAAACCCCAAACACTTCTTCACAGGTAGCGTAGTTTAAAGATTAAGAGTAGAGGATCGCGTTTCTTTTAACACTAGCTGTGTGACTTTGGACAACTTTATTAACCCCCTTGGAACCCAGTTGCCTCGAGTGCAGAATGGCAATAATAATAATTTCTATACCCCCTAGGGCTGTGTAGGGTAAAACTATATAAAGTGCCATAAAACTCTGCCTGCTCATGCTAATTATCATACAAGTGTTAGCTATTATCGTTATGTGATTACAAGAAATGAAACACAAGATACGACTTATGCAAAGAAATCACACTGGCCGTAGATGAACAGCAGAGGGTTAATATTCTGATAAAGTTCTCATAAATCAACAAGAACCTCCAACCCCTAAATGGGCAATGTTTGTAAATATACGATTCAAAAAATGTTAAAAAGGTGAGAAGACATTTGAACACTTTAACATTTATTCATTTGCCAAGAATTCCTTGAGCACCCAGGGCAGGACGGCACTAAGATGACTCGGCCCCTGCCCTCAGGCAGTTTGCAATAGAACAGGGAAGAGAGGCACTAAATAAATCATTAGGCAGGTGATTTAAAGACGTTTGCGAGAAGAGCCAGGGAGAAAGTCAAGGATGGCCGAGAGAGAGACGAGAACATGTAGTGTATAGCATGCCCTAGGCTGGGGTTCCAGGAAGGCTTGCTGGAGGAGGTGGCATTATAGTGGAGACGCAAACACTGAGAAACACTTAGGCAGGTGAGGTGAGAGGTGAGACTCAGGGCAGAGGGGCACGGAGTAGAGCATGGTACTTTCCAAGAAGTGGGGAGGGTCTGAGGTAGAGGAGAGGGGAGCAGGGTCAGGTAGCAACAGAGGGAAGAGCCACGCCATGCAGTGCTCTGGGGGCTCCTTGCAGACCGTCCCCTTCATCCTAGGAGCACAAGGAGCAACTCAGGTTTTAGTCTCAGAATCAGATTTGCTTTATAAAGTGATCGTGTTTGGCACAGCATGGAGCTTGGACTGGAAAGAGGCGAACAGTCGGGGCTGAGAGTCTGTTTCGTCCGTGCTTTCAGGAACCTGAGCCGAAACTGCAGACAAGGACGTGCCAGTAGCTTGAGAGAAGCCAGGAGCTCCAAGAGGCAGGACCCAGATGGAGTCAGAAGGCACCCCTGACAGGTGGATGTTGGGGGCAGGGGCAGAAGTCAAGGTCTCAAAGGTGACTCTTGGCTTCCGGGCATGAGAATGAGGTGGGTTGGGGGGAGGCCATTCCACTGATTCAGGGGACACTGATCCTCCTCTGTACTTTAAAAAATCACACGCATGTTATCAGACACCCAGGCTGTTTAAAGGCTTTGATATGATGTCAGCGTGGAGCTCACTCTTGTACGTTATCCTGATGCAGAAGGAGGACCCGGGTCCATGCTGCTGGGCCCAACACTCCACAGGGAGGCCGGGCAGGAGGAATGCTGTTAGCACTTCAGTCTGCACAGGGAATCTGAACCGCGAGCGTGGTGGCTGAGTTTCCCTAGACGGTAGGGTACGGGAGAGGCAACCCCAGACTGAGCCCCAGGCAGTGCTGGGGCTGGCAGAGGAGCAGGCACCAGTCCAAGAAACACAAAGGTACCAGGGACTCGCCTTTCACTTATCAAATTACCAAAAATGCTAAAAGACATGTCAACATTCCAAACTGACAAGTATGCAGAAATGAATAGCTTCATACATGGCACCTGATAGAATGATCTGGCATAGCTTTTCTTAGGGGGCAGCAATTTGACAACATACACATAAAGTTTTAAACTATTGATTTATATGCTTTGACCCAGGAAAGCTAAGAATTAATAAGAAATATGCAACAGGATTACACAGGAGTGTTCTCTACATGAGTTATAATATTAAAGCATTCAAAGCAATCTGGATCACTAATAATATGAAAATGGTTTCAAATTTATAAAATGTGAATAGTTATAGGCTTAAATATTATGCAGTGTTTAAAAATCATGGCAAAATGCTAAATATGTTTTTAAAAAGGCAACGGACACAGCTGAACATACAGTGTAATCCTTCTCTGTTTCTCTCTCTAGGTAAGATTAAAATGAAATGCCTCTAAAATGCTAACAGCAGTTATCTCTCTAAAACAAAATAAAATTAGGCAGGCTTTTCAACCAGACTTTCCATTTTTATGCAGTTAATCTGAAAATTCAATTTCCCTCGCAGAGACCATTTCCAAGTATTCCAGATTTTACTGTAAATGAGAAGGTACTTACTGAGTTATACAAAGAAACTTTCCACACGCTGTCGAGGCCAAACCTTATGAAATCATTTACTCTCAGAGATGTTTTGCTTGTACAAATCCAGGAACCTGGTTTTCAGTAAGACTCTGGGCTGTTATTTCATGTCGACTTAATGTTTGATTTCCCTGACTTAGAAGAGCCTGCACTTCACCCGAGGGGATTGCTGATCAAGCAGATTCTGCCCAGGACTTTGCTCGGGCAGCTCCTTCAGTCCATATCCTTTCTCTGCCCCGTGCCCGGTAAACTTCTACACATCCCTCAAGGCCCCACTCCAATGCCATCTCCTCCAGCAGCCAGGCAGTTTGTCTGGCTGCTCTCTCTGCCTTTGCATGTTGTCTACACCTCATGCTAACACTCACTGTATTGCTGTAATGATCTCTTTTGGACTTTGTCTTTCCCCATAGACCAGGGTCCATAGGGTGGGTGTTGAATTCATCTTTCAATCCTTAATGCCAAACACAAGGCCTGGTGTGTGGTAGGGACTTAATATTTGGAGGGAGACTCAGAGCTGCCCAGATTTAGTGACCATTGTAGCTCACTTCGAGATACTGTAGACCAGGGGTCCTCAAACTGTTTAAACAGGGGGCCAGTTCACTGTCCCTCAGACCGTTGGAGAGTGCGGGCACATTCCACACATGCGCACTGTGGGCCCAGGACGAGTCGGCTGCTAAGCAGGACAGGCAGCAGCGGCAAAAATGCCAGGCGGGCCGGATAAAAGTCCTAGGTGGGCAGCATGTGGCCCACGGGCTATAGTTGTAGTCTGAGGACGCCTGCTATACACAATGTTATAGGTCAGAGAGGAATCCAGTCCACAGCCGGGTATTAATAGTAATACCTCGCTGGTGGCGACTATACATCACTGATTTGAGTGCTCAACTAGAAATAAAGATTTAGGTTTCCTATTTTGATTCTTAGCACAAAGAATGTCCTACAATATCCTACCTTGAGGAGAAAATGAGTTCTACGTTTCTCAAATTGACAAAACCAATAAAAACTGAAATATATTCAATTTAGCCCAACAAATTATTTCTATGTGTGTTTTATGTTCCACGAGGCCCTAAATACACTGTCCCTCATAGACAAAGGGTCCTACGATTCCCTTCAGCTACCTGCGTCTTCACAGCCTATGTCCCCAACGTGGGGCACACCGGTAACCCAAGCAGGTTCAGTAACAAAATAATAGAATTATTCAGATTTACCTTCTACTTCATCCCTTTAATGTGTTTATATCTTATCCATGTTTAAAAATGTATATAATATACTAGTACAGGACAAAAAGTGTATATATCGTGTGTGCATGTCCCTAAGTATTCTTGTGTGTGGTGAGGGAGAGGGCGATTATAAGTTTTTGAATCCATTGCTTTAGACCAATGCCTGTTCAACTTGCGTGCAAATTCCCTAAGATGATTCAAAATGCAAGTTCTTATTCAGAAGGTCTGGGCTGAGGTCTGAGAACCTGCATTTCTAGCAAGCCCCCAAGTGAGGCTACGGCTGGGGGTACAAAGCTCACTGGCCTCTTGTGAGCACGACTTCTCACCTGGACTGAACAGCACAGAACACAGAGAATGGTTTGAGTGACTATTCTCTCCTTCCTCCCATGCATGGCCGTAACCAGCATCATGCCAGACACAGGGAGAGAAGGCCATTCATCCCATAAATAAATACCATGGGGGTGCGTAATTAAGGCTGACTTTTCTCATAGAACTCTGTTGAGGAAGGGGCTCTAAGGAGCTTGCTGGTCATATGGCTTTACCTATGGAAGAAAGTTCAAGGTCACTAGCTGACTTCATTAAAAAAAAAAAAAAAAAGAAAGCACGGTTTATAAATCACCATACAGCATGATCTTGTACAAAATGATCTTGTAGTCAGCAATTCTTTTCCAGTGTTTGGCTTTTATCTGGAAACTTCCTTTAGGGGAAACATAGCTGGAAACCAAGGTCTCGACCACTCCTGGCCATCAGAGCTTCTGCAGCACTAACAGTAAGTGAAAGAGTGCTCAGTGGGGAGTCCCGGCCGTTCTGACTCATAGCAGCTACCTCCCTGCACCCTCACTCTGACAGAAGACACCTGGTATTGGGAGTGAGTGGGTCACAAATGTTCTTTGTCCAAAGCAAGAGAAGGAGAATAACACACACAGACACAAACACACACATGCATGCGTGTGTGCGTGCACACACACACATATTATTAATTGAATAAAATGAATTCCTTAATTCACAAGGTCTACCCTACCATTATTGTTCGAGTGCTCTATTACAAGTTGGAAAAGACTATTTGAGTACAAGTTGAACTACAGATATACCTTAGCTTAATTTTGGAGCCAGCTTGCACTGTGCAATAGTGGTTGCAAGTAAGTTTTCAAATACCTACATCTTCTGTAGTGTGTAACCAGCATTAATGCAAAGTGACACGTGGCGGCATAAGACAGGTGCTTCCTCTGAGACTAGACTTCTAACCCCCTCAACGTGTTCAACATTGGTTAAAGAAAACAAGGCAGAATGAAGACCATTAACTCTGTCATTTGAAGTGAGTTGGCCCTTAAATTAAAGCCCAGTTGGCCAATTCCTAATGTCCTTCCTTGCATCTGTCTTCAGCCCTACTTTAAGTCAAGAGATCCAACTTTCAGGAGGTGACATTGGAAATAGGACCCTGGTTGAAAGACCTTGGCAATGCCCTTATGTCTGCTCTGTGGCCATCTCCCATTTCCTCTTGGTCATTGGTAATAAAACCCATTAAATGACAAAGGCCAAGATGCTTGTCCTGGGGTTGTGGGGAGAGACCAGGAGCTCACCTAAGGAGAGTGCCTCTCACCCCCAAGCCCAGCTTTAGGGAGCAGCTTTGATAGGCGTAGGAAGAGCTTGAGAGTGGAAAGAAATGACATTTTCCTTCATTTCCTTGATGGCTGGATGACTACTCCTCAACCAAGAGAACACGGCCTCTGGCCGCCACTCATGTGGTCAGGGTCACTAGCAGCTCAGCCGGTGGGCGAATCTCATCCCTCCCCTCATTCTGCATTTCCACAGCATCTCAGACTGTTGCCACCACCCGCTCCCAACTTCTTCCCTGTTTTTCTGGCTCCTTCCCAGTTCCATTTGTAGGTTCCTCCTCCTAGGCAAAAACTCCTCTTCTCCAAGTATTTCCTTTCCACTAAACTCACACTCAGCATCCACTCCCAGAGCTTTGGGTGCCGCCGTTATTGTTCATGAAGCCTGAGCCTCGTGTGTCCTTCCCAGGTCTCCCTTGTCACTGCCAGCCCAACCGTCCCCTGTGTGCGCCTCCTCCATTCGATTGCCCACAGACACCGCAATTAAATCCAGCCTGGCTTCATTATCCATCTCCTCGGTCAGCTCCACTCCTGTAGACAGACCCTCGGGTGCCGGAAAATACTCAGTGCCCCAGCTTACCTCAATATCCCTTGAAACTGTCCCTTTTCTCCCTCCCACTGCCGCTGCCTCAGTTTAGATGCACAAGTTTTCTTTCTTGGGTTACTGCAGCAGGCTCGTAATCAAGGCTCTTGTCTCAAGCTACCCTCCCCTAAAGCACTCTCCACTGTGCAGAATCATGATACCCTAGAAGCGCTCTACTGCCCAGCTTGGCGGCCCCATTGTCTGCAAAGCAAAGCCTCAGCTCCTGAACCTGTGGACACGGCATGGGAGACCCTTCAGAACTCAGCCCTTCCTGTTTTGGCCTCCGCACCAGCCGCCCTTCAGCCTGCTACCTGCTCCAGCCATGCGGGGTGACCTGCTACCTGCTCCAGCCATGCCGGGTGACCTGCTCCCTGCTCCAGCCATGCCGGGTGACCTGCTACCTGCTCCAGCCACACCGGGTGACCTGCTACCTGCTCCAGCCATGCTGGCTGACCTGCGGCTGCCCAGATGGGTTGGTTGGTCCTCCACTGATCTACTCGATGCCTTCTAATGCACCATGGCCCCTCCGGCAAGCTCGCCTCCATTCTCATGTCTACACTTTCAGACATTGCCCTTGCCAGGCAGGTGCACTCCCTACCTGTTCCCGTGGGTCTGTGCTGTCCCCACCTGTGCCCCCATGCTCTGTCTCCCAGAATATTTAACTCAGCATAGTGGAGTTGTTTGTTTACTTGTGTATATCTAATTACAGTAATTATCAAGCCAACAAACTGCCATGAACATGTTAACCAGTGCTGCATTGGCAGATTATACATGTATAACTCCGAGCTTCGGAGTAACTCAGGGAAAACTCTGATAAAAATAAGCAAATGGAGGCTCAGCAAAGGAGTTTGCCAAAGGTCACCAAACTAGTTAGTAGTGGTGACGGTGTTTATATCCTGGTCTCTCTGACCCCAAAGCCAGATCTTTGCCATCACACCCCACTGGCCCCTCTGGACTATAACCTGCACCTCTAACCTCATGTCGGCCAACGCATGGGTCCTAGCAATGACTCGGTGATTGTCGAATGCACCTGTGCTCGCACACATGAATGGAAGCCAAGGGAACTTGGAATCTTCCAGTTCTGGAAAAACAGCCCCAGGTCTCAACAAGAATCCTCCGACTCGGGGGTTGTGGCGATGAGCTAAGCAGAGAGAAAGCCATGCCGTGTCAGTCCCCTGTGGTCACACACAGCTGTTTGCTGATGGAAGACGCAGATAGCATCATGCCTCAGAGTCACTGTCCCCCGGCAGGCAGTGCATTGTGCTGAGTCACCAAAGGCCATGCCACCCACCGCTGCTCCTGCCCCTGCGGTATTTACCTCTAGAGTGGCCCCCGCCGCCACCCACGCCAGATACTGAATGCACCTGCTTCTCCTCCTTCCTCTATGACCCGCAGCCACATCATCCTAGGTGTTACTTCCTAAATAATTCTCGTTTCCATCCCTGCTTGTGTGTCCTCCCCTGGCTAGCCGATGCGGACCCTCGCGGCTTGTCTTGCGCAGCGCTGCCGACCTGCCCACCGCCCCTCACTCCCTCTGGCCCCCTCCTTGAGAGTCGGC